TGCCTGGCACCAAGCATTGAAATGTTATACATTTTCTTTGTTTGATATCGACTTATTTTTTTTAGGGGACCTTGTTGCCTTTGAGCACATGATGAATACTTTGTATAATCTGCTTTGATGTGCATTCATTCAGTATGCCCACCTTCCACAAAGTGCCTCTGTGTGCTGTGTGTGCAGATACTCTGAGTAGGTATCAACACACAATCTAATTTTGCATTACAATGTGTGTTTATGTGGTGCGTCTAAGGTTAATTGATATTTTTGTGATATTTGATATTTCATAATTTATATTTTTGGAAATTCTTCCACCAAAATTCACCCAGCCGATGAATCGGGGCTGTGTGTATGCAATGTGTCATTATGTTTTGGTTTGTATATATTGGACTGTAAACACCAAAAAATAATTCAACATATGAGATCAGCCGAAAAATTTGGATATTAAAGTTATTCACAGTTTTAATTTTGTTACTGTACAAAGTGATTTCACCATCCTATGGAGAGCTTAACCTCTGCCATGGGAATGTGGAATGTTCTGCCCGAGTTTTTTTCCTCTCCAATTTCGACGGTAAGTTAGCATCCATACAAATATTTGTGCTGTACGTAATTGTCAATCTTATCAAAAACGAAAATGTGTAATGCAAACAGATGCAAATAATCTTTTCGACATATTTTAGCACTGTGTCAAGATTGAAATGATAAACTGGCCCACGCAGACCTCAGATCGTGGAGCTTACGTCACTGAAAGCCATCAGCTGACGACCCCTGTGGGTTCCGAAAGGATTTGCCAAGCGCTGCGGTTGCCCAAAACAAGATGCGAGTGGGGATCTGGGTCCTGAGTTGCTCTGCAGACATCGTGCCAGGCCTCGCTGCTTTCTTATGAAATGGGATCCTGCTGTTGAGGAATATTTATTAGGTTTATAATGGCTGCTTTTCATCTTTTTATCCACGCCCACGCATACTGGTCAGAATTTCTGTGGCCTCTCAAAGGGGTGTGCTGTTTGTGGTCATGTTTATGCTCTGTGTTCAGTTTCACGTGAAAACAGTCCCAAATTAATAGACAGATGTGTCCTTCTTAGCAAATGGCTTTCACCGACTTTAATGTACAGTGTTGTGGTGTGGGACGTGCCTCTTGTACAGAGCGACCACTGAAGGCCTCTGATGTTAACCCCTGATGGCTTTCAAAAAATGTGCGTCGTTCCATTTTAAACCGACATGTTTTATTCAAATTTTAATTTATTGAACTTGTTCAGGCCAACTAAACAGTGCAGGAGTAACACTCTGGAAGCGGGAAATGTCGAAACGCAACAGCGCCGCTCGCTTTGCCCAGAAGTTCTGCGTAAGTGGAAAAATATGCTTCTTGAGGGTTACACGCAGTCTAAGGCATTTGAGTGATTGAGCAAAACTTCTGAGCAACTTCCCAATTCGGAAGGAGGGGGGGAGGGTGTTACCGTTGCTGTAAGCATCTGCATTAAGATTGTTGTCCAAGTTAATGCGTAACACTTGCGTGTTCACGCATTCTCAGGGGAATTATTGCCCGTTTAAAATTCAACAATCCTCACTGGCAAGGCTTGCATGCCCCCCCCCTCATTTTTGTCTCTTAGTGACCCCCCCCCCACTTGAATTCACTCGCACGCGCGCACAGCACACGCTTGGAAGGAAAACGTGAAATTCTTTACCGTTCTTGACAGTCTGAATGCGGCTTACACGCGTGCTTAGACAGGTGTGCTGACTCAACGCATGCCAAACGAAACGTTGTGCAAATATGCCCCAACTTCAAGGGGCCTTTTGGCATTTTTATGCAGTTTTACTGCATCCCGCCAAGAGGTGTAGTTTTACAAAAGCGTGTGCAAATAAAAAACAAGTCTTGACTAACGTGACTTTATTATGAGTTTTTTTTATATTAACTGCAGTCCGGACAACAGTCTTTGACATTCAACAGACTATGCCACAGCGCCAAGAGGTATTTGACGATGCTTTCAGTGGGAGAAAAAAAAAACTGTGACTCGTACTCACGTTGTGGTGTTGTGCGGCACAAATGGCAGATTGTGTTTATTTGCGTGGCAGCCACTGTGTCATTAGCTATCTACAGGAAAGCGACAATTCCTGCCTTCCTGCCTTTTAAAAGAAACACTTACTGTTCGGGTATAAGTACATATGCATATACACAGATAAAGATCCCCCCTCGTATAGCCTTAACAGACTGGTGGGGCAAGTGCTGTTAGCGAGGAGCACCTATGAAGGGTGGCACTGCACACGAGGGGGGTGGGTAGCCAGCACCATGCCTGGCCACCCTTTGTCTCCCTCCACATTGCACAAGGTACTAATTTTAGGCTGAGTCAACCTAGGGGAAGCCCAGTACACACACACGTATACATTTCTATTTTACTTTCAAATGCACAACAGGACAGGATCATCAACTATGCCCCAGTTGGACGTCTGATGACATTGGTTTAAAAATCCACATCAATCAAATGGAAAACTACCTATTTTCCTTTTATTATGGACAGGGGGGTGTTTACAGAGACGGAGAGTGATTGCAACGGAGGGTAAGGGCAAGGGAGAGAAGAGGCTTAGAGCGTAAAATGGGGAATAACAGTTTTAAACAGAGGTTTTCCCACTTGATGTGGAACGTAACATTTTGAAGGAAGATGCCTGCGGGCATGGCTTTTGCTTGTTGCTCTTGTGCGCTCATGGATACTGTTGAACAAGAAGCCAAACTGTTAAATTTGACCTTTAGTCTGAAACAAATAAGTCTTGTGTAATGCATTTTAAACATGTAAATAAATTATATATCGGTACAAGTGCAATTCAAAATGTCTCCGTGCTCAAACGAGCATGAGGGCAATGCTGCTTTCTTTTGGTGGCCCCGGACCAGTGGTGCGCATCGTGGTGAGGCTCTTTCCTTCCCCCCCCCCCCCATCGATACGGGGGGGATGGGGCACCACAGTGGTGAGATGTTACCTCCCTCGCCTGGTATACAGGGAGGCATATTTGTAGTTTTCATGTTTTCTCCGTGGCCGCGTGGATTTTTCTCAGGGTCCACCGGTTTTTCCATTCACGTGTGAAATCAACGTGCGTGTAGGGCATTCGGCTGCCGATATACATTTCCACGTGATAAGCCAATTCGTTGAGCTATCATCGGGGACCAGGTCGCTTCTGAAAAAGAGCTACATAGCTCAGTCGGCCTTACCTGGCAAAATATTTTTTTTTAATAGATACAGGCAGAATAGGTGCTTTTAGAGGATCCTATTATCTGCACAAATATAGCTCCCAGTATCCGCACAATTACCCGAATAATAGACACCTGTAATACGATACATTTTTACCACCACTTTCTGGGTCTTTCCTTTTATTCGGGAAAATGTAGGTAATGGGATGAAGTTGTTGCTTCCAGGAGACACCTTTCATCCACAAACGTTGCGGATATTAGGATGGATTTAGTACTTTCAAGTGGCTTATGTGGATAACAGCTTGTTCTTGCCACTACTTCCACGTCACTGTTCTTATCTGCGTAAAAAAATATACATGATGTGAAGGATACATCGCAGATATTAGTATTTTTCATGGATAGACTTGATCCGCGGATAGTAGGAGTGGCAGGTCATAGGGCCTCAAATACGAGGGGTTGGTCTGAATGCCTTCCTATGGCTGGAGACGTAGGAAGGCATTGCCACTGCAATGTCTCATGCTTAGGAGAACATCTTGGGTTTTCTGTGTGTAGAGATGCGGTGCTATGGGCTAAATGTGCACAGCCCTTTGACAATCAGCTGCTGCATGAAGACATCGTATTGTGTCAGTCGTCGGGGATGTTTGACCATACTTCATCATGCTGGTCACTGCGGTATTGGTAAAGCGGGGACCTGGGACCAGTTTAGACATAAATCACCACTGATGTGTTACTCATGGGCAGGAACTAATCTCAGGGCATGTTCAATAATTGTATCCAGACTGATATAATCACAGAGAAACGTAAATGTTCTGCAAATAAGATAAGTAAAACTTTCTGCAATTGCAGATGTATTGAATAATAGAGCTCGGAAACAACATCAGTTGTCATTCAAGCAAACGCCAACTTTCATCACATCTCTCTCATATAGAGTACTGTAGATATACTCTCCATAAAGATGCATAATAAATGCATAATATGATTGCAGTTACTACTCATCTGGATGGTATCAAAATTGTATCTTCAAAAAAACATCCGTTTGAATATAATTTGCGCCGACAAGACATGCATTGCCTTAATAATCAAAGCACTCTGTCTTTCATCTGCATTTTAATAAAGTGCAGGCACAAGCTTTAAAGTGTTGGTTTGGATTTTTTCCCCTTTCTGTAGTTAATAAATCCTGTTCCCCTCCCAGAGAGCCATCACTGGTTATTTATGATTTAAAAGAGCAGTCTCAACTTCACAGGATGCAATATCAGTGCCAGTCTTTTGAATACTGATCTTTAATATCCCACCAATGCGTTTGATGTTCTATGTGAGAGACTGTGTATTTTCAGTTTTAATGATTTCACGCCCATGTTTTTTTGTAGCCAACCCTTGAAAAAAAAGAAATCCTAGCTCAATATTTTATTTTATTTCTTTAATCTCATGTTCAACTTTGCCCTCTTCAAATTTCAAAAATTTCCAGTCTTGTGTGTTATTGTCCAATGTAGATAGATGACATTTTTGACTTTGAAGTGAAGAGATGTACAAAAGACGATTTTCTAGCTTGTATTGTAGCAGCCTAGTGAGAAATGACACGTCAGACATGTGTTCTCTATTTGATCTGTACTACCAACTGTGAACAACTGTTATATTAAAAGAGAGCATTTGTGACCTTGAGTGTATTGGAGCCACATGTCCATAATTTTGTGAAGCAGAGCATTCAAATGTTTAAATGTGTGTCTGTCTGTAGATAAATATTAGAACCATTTTATTGTTCGATTTTTTTACATTCACAGTGATACTTTTGCACAGTTAATAACATTTGACGGTTCCTGTTTGTCACCCACAGACATTTCACACGCCAAGCCTCGGCGATGAAGAGTTCGAAATCCCACCCATCAACCCCCTCAATGAAATGGATCCTTCTGGATTGATTCTGGATGATTCTGTGGTGCGGTATCATGGGCTGGAAGATACTATTCCACCACAGGGGGGACAGTATGTGCCACATTTCCCACCACAAAATCTCGACCTGCCGGCCATCACTGTTTCCCGAGGCATGATGGGAGGTCACATGAATGGCATGGTGAGTTGTAAACGCAACGCCTTAAGCACATATCCATCCTCATGCATGCACTCATGCACGTACACAATTTAATGCATTAAGACATACTGCTGCCGCTTCCAAGTATCACAACGTTTTTTCTAACTTATTGCACTAAATACTATTTAGGCCATATATGTTTGTCATATTTTACCATGCTGATCAAGTTTGGTTAGCAAACGGGTGTCCAGTACTGGTTCAGATATCGTATCCGACTGATATTAAACGTGGTCAGGAATGTAACTCGCGTTACTGGGTTCACAGTGCAGTGCGCTCATCACCGTGCCACCGTTACATGGCATTATTTATATATTTGAATAAAGATCATGATTATTATCTATAAACGATGATCAATACTAACCACATGAATAACCGCCACTGCTCTCAAGGTTCTGCGAAGGGCTGCACTGGGCTTTGCCCTGGTCACAGGGCCTGGCTGTTACTCTCGTCATTAAAAGCCCCCTGTTTAGAATATGTGCACGCTCATGTGCTCAGAAATCATTAGCAATTGCCTTTGACAGCAGTGACAGGTCACAGGGGAAGGTCAAGCCTTGTTTACCCACATTGTCACTGTCCCAGTAGCCGACCATGCAAAGAAGCCCTGAGGGTTCACATCCTCGTGGCATCTGTGAGCCGGTGATGCATACCAAGGTGACGCCCGTTGGCCCAAATCACCCCAAGGTGACGCCGGAATCTCCAAGGGTGTTTGTGCCTCTCATCAACTTTTTGCACCCCCCCCCCCCAAAAAAAAAAAACCTCACCTGTTTCTCTTGTATACTGAGAAATGCAAAGAGCTATCGTGCCCATTTTTTAAATTGCAGATTTAGCGCAGGTCATCGAGATCTACGCATCGGAAACCTGTCGGGCAGGTTCTTTTGAGCCGGCATGATATGTACCATTACAGTTGAAAAAGCACCATTTGGCAGCCTCTGTTTGTTGAAGGTTTAGCAACATTTACATAACTACTTTTGACTGCAACATTTATCTGTGACTGCCAAGGCTGTGGCAACATGAATTGTAAACTTAAAGTGAATCACGTTTGAACAAAAAAAACTGCAATTCATGGTTGTGTTTCCATTACACGTACGTTTGTGCAAATATTTCCCTTGTTAAAATTTACAGGGCTTGATTTTTTTTCCATTAAATATCACTATGATCAACCTTGCGTCATTACTTTGTAAAAAGCCACACATCTTAATGAGGATTATTTTTAAACACAATTTTGCCAACTGTAATGGAACCCGGTAAAAGACTCGTTCAAATAATTCCAAGGCTTCCATCGTCTCTTCTCTCATTTACATCTCGACCGACTTTAACGTCCCCTTTGTAAGGTGATGTATTTTACAGCGGCTTGTCTCCACGAACGCGTCACAAAACCTCTGTGTGTGCCGTTAAATGGTGAATTCAAGACGGAACAGAAAATGGGCTCATTCTTTTCAATTGGGGAATTTCTGCCAGCAATGGCTTATATTTATGTAATGTGCACGTTTTACTTTTTTATCGACCATCTCAGACTACTCGCGTGTTTATGGAGCTAACAACACCGTGCTGCATTATTTTTTTGTTGCCGTACATTTTGACGATGGTGTAATACCGTAATTGAGGCAAAATGATATTGACTTAAAACCATTTCAATAGTCACACACTGGCCTATTCATATGCGCGCGATTTAAATCTGCTCTCAAATGAACGGCTTCTCCAGCACAAATGTTGACACAGTAACGGGCGGCCATTTTAAATCCCCCCGCTGTTCTTTCTCCCTCTCTCTTTCCTTATTGACCCCACCATCTTCCTGATCCTGACTGAATTGCGTTATTTCTGGACAAATTTGAATGAGGTTTCAGACTAAAGCTATTTCGGTTCGCACAAATTAACTCGAAGGGGGCGAATGTTTTCGTTATTTTCAAAGACATGTTTTCTTCACACGAATTAGGTGATTTTTTTTCTTATTCTGTTAATTGGCATGACAACAGCACATATTGATGCATTTGGCATTAGAGCTGTGGCGTAGTGGAAAATCAATCCAAAAGTAATGTACTGCGAGGGATTTTTAGAGATTAAATGAGTTTTACAGTAATTGCTTTGGGGTCAGCTTTCAGCTGAAGGCTTTGAGATGCAAGCCATCTTACTTAAAATGCCTAAATATAGATGGCAGTGACGTCCGTGACATTTCAATGATTCATTCTGTACCTGCTCTAACAAAGAACGCCATGACGTTACCTTGCGTGCGCACTTACATCTGTTTTTTCCCTAATTGAATACTCAGGTTAAATTATCAAAGAGGAGAATATAAAACATGTTGGTGAATGTAAAAATATAACTGTAAGAATGAAAGAACGAAATACACAGGACTCCTTTTTTAATGGTGTGTTTCACTGGTTGGACCATGACAAGAAATACAAAATAAACCTTGCGTGGCATTTAAAATGCCACATTTAATCCTGTAGGAATTTTCCATGTCAGCATTACTCAATAGTTATCCTTTAACATAAATATCCATTAGGGTTTCATAAAAGCCCTTATGAGATCTTGTTGTTTTTGTAAATTCTTGCAGGATTCCTTGAGGATTTCTCTTGAAATTGTTTACATTTCATACAGGGTCCAATAACATGTTTTTTTTATTTGTAAGATAGGGCTTTTTTTCTGGCAGTGAGCATTACAGCTAACGAATTAGCTTCTTGCCAGCAAAGAAATACTTTAGCTGATAGGGTTTCAATGAGATATATTAAACGTGTTCACAAAGTTGTCCATATCATGGAGCATGCATTACATCACTGAAAGTAAATCTGGAAGCATTGTTTTGCTGCTAAATGAAATGGGTTTAAGTGGATATTGGATTTTTTTGCTGATATACCGGGTATCAATACTGGCTAAGCATGGACACTGCTTCTGGCTTGCACACTAGCTCTCTTTTAAGCGCAGCACACTCGCAGTAATGATGCCGTTGGATTATGAGAGGCTTACGGTAATGATGTGCCCGATTTATAAAAGGCCAAATGTTTAAAACAGAATTCCTTACTCAACCAAAATTCGGCGCTTTAATAAGCCCTTTCTTAAGGTCCTTTTTGCCCTCATTTAATATACAATGTTTGTATTATCGCGTTATTAAAACTGTAGGTCAATTTCCTGAATTGAGAGCTGGCACTTTTTTTGGATGGGGGGGTAGAGGTGTCGCTATAAGGTGGCAGGTGGTCACTGAATAATGAGGGCAATAGACTTGGGGGGGGGGGGTGGATAATTCTGATTGATCGTAATAAATGCCATTTTAGAGAAACTAGAAAAGGAAGATTGCATTATATTTGCACCGTAGAAGGTATCCATCAGTATATACGTTACGGTACAGTGCGGTACTGTATATACACACACTCTGATTTGGGATTTAGAAACAATTTAACTGGAAGAAGATCAAAAGAAAAATCATGTCCAGCAATTGAATATAAAGTAATGACATTACACTAATTACGAATAGAGTTCTTTTCAACATGTGAATTGTGTTCTCTGCTTAAACAAACAATGAAGAGGTGTCTTCTTGGTTCTTTCGGTAAAGTCACGTAGAATGGAAATAATAAAATAATAAAAATAAAGCATAATAAAATAATTCTCACGACGTTTCAGCCACAACGCAAGCAGCAGTCCCCAGGTGAAGAACAGGTCTGTCAATAAGACTCTGGCCGAAACGTCGTGAGAATTATTTTATTATGTTTTATTTTTATTATTTTTTTATTTCCCTTCTACGTGACTTTACCGAAAGAACCAAGAAGATGAATCCCTGCAGTCACGAAAGCTTTAAATCGAAATTTAATGAAGAGGTGCTCCTCTACTTTGACGGACTCTGAGCAAGTGGTGAGGATTCCATATTCCTATGGTGGGGGGGGGGGGGGGCATTGTCTCTTCAAATGAGACCCACCATTCACTTCCATTTAAGTGGTGCTCATTCTATTGACCCTGGAGGGATTGTGGGGTGCATCGACCCCCAACCGGGATTTGAACTCGCGACCTTCCAATTGTGAGTCAATTGCATGAATAACAGGGCCACCTGCTTGCAATGTCTACAAATGCCACTCGTAGAGCTCAATGATACCAGCATGGAGAGGCCTTCATCCAGCAGTGGATAGACAATGGATGGTTACGATTATGGGAAACTTCATATGATAACAAAAAATGTGACCCTATAATTATATTGTGGACAATAGCTGCAGATAATGCCCCTAGTGATGTTGCTGATAACAATAATGATGTTCAATATCAAAACTGAATCCTTTATCTCACAGATAATTGAAAATGTCATCTTATGATGCTTCTAGTGCTGCAAATGGTGTCGACGATGTTTACGATTCTGTGCAGTTTCCATCTTGGTTCAGGATGATCGGGCGAGTGACATTTACTTTGAGTGTTTCCTGTTAATGATTTCAGTGGAACCTGCTGAAGGCAGTCCGCTAACGGGCGTTGCGCGTGTGTGTGTGCGGCTGCTACCCCTTAGGCAATGGCTCAAGCTAACCCAGCGTTCTTTGGGCACGACCCTCACCTGGGCTTCCCTCACATGATTCCCATGGGCGGCCTGGGCCAGCCAGGGTCCATGCTGCCACCACACGGGCAGCTCACCACCATCAACCAGTCCCACCTGGGCCTGGGGGCTATTGGGGCCGGGGGAGGCGGCGGCGGCGGTGGTGGCGCCGGCATGGCAGGGCTACCGTACGGCTCACCCTCACCTCCCGGAAGCAAGTCTGCCACGCCGTCTCCGACCAGCTCGGCTAATGACGAGGAGGCGGACGATGCGGCTCGGGTAAGTGAACACCACGGTCGCGAGATGTTAACGGACTCGCCTGGTATACAGGAGGTCGTGGGTTCAATTCTGACCCTCACGCCTGCTGTTGTATATTTGGAGTTTACGTGTCCCCTCTCCCCATGGTTGCGTGGTTTTTTTTCCTCCGGGTCCTCCGGTTTTTCCCCTCCACATTTAGAAATGTGTGTTTAGAGCAATTGGCTGCTATACATCTCCACGTCATAAGCCACTTCATCGAGCTATCATTTGTGGCCAGGTCGATTCTGAAAAGAGCTACATAACGCAGTCGGCCTTACCTGGTAAAATAAAATAAAACATTTGTATAATAGTTTAGTTTAGAAAAGGCATCGGATGTGCCACACTGGTTAATAAATAGTGATCTAATTTTGAGGCTGCCTTGTCAACACATCCAATGAATACAGTGATGAGAACAATGGCAACAACATAAACGCGAAAGCCCACACTTTCCATAGACGATGAGAAGGCCTGTCGAAACGGGAAGGCAAATGTGTGTGTGTAGGCTGGAAACAAGGTCGAGAGCATTGTTCATGCGAATGTGGTGGTGACATGATATGCACGCAAGGCACGATGGGAGTCGGGCCTTCCTGCTGTTTGTGGGCACACCTTTTGCATGTTATTTTGACAAAATTAAAACCGTTGACTGGAGGAATATTGGATGCAGAGCACACTGGGGAGATCAACAGTGATTGGTATCCTGCCCATAAGTAAAGGGCTTGGTTTAAATCCAACCTGGGCCTCGAAATGATGAGCTGCTGGGCTGTTGTCAAGCACTGCAATGCCCTTCTCTAGCTAAGTTTGCATCCAAGAATGTGAAAGGGAAAAACTCTTTCTTTTCTAATCGTATATTCTGATAGATCAAGATACAATGCTTGCATCGTAACTGAACTGTATTTCAGAAATGGAGGCATAACGTCTTGAGCTCTTGCTTTGAATGGGTTGCGAAGCCAGGTTTTGGAATAGGAAAATGGCCAGTGACCCACAGGATGACATGCCAATTAGGCCACAGTACGATGATTACACGAGCACACTCTGATGATGTACCCATTGTGCTGGAGCGCAGTTGATAATACAACCAAATCATCGGCAGCAAGGCACAGTCTTGTAGATTGGCCATTTAGTGAAGTGGCAGCCCACCTGGTCTGTAATAATGAAACCTGGGGTTGTTTTATCAGTTGTCATGGATGAAAATAACCCCAAGTCATTATTCACAAGAAATAGGCCGCTGTTGACCATAGATAGTTGTTTTCAATCTCGCATTTCCAAAATGATCAGATTGTCCCTGTTATGAATTCTGCTCTATCTCATTTCACTCTCCGCTGTGTGTTTCCTCCGGTAGTCACACGTGCTCGATTTTGCCATTGTTCCGTCAACATGCATGCGGTGATGTTTACAGGGCAAAGCTTTAGATGATTATTATTCTGTGAAAATGCCCCTGCTTGGTGCGAGTCTTGCACCTGACTACGGCATATACGTTCGCCGGGACTAATGAAGACTCTCGAGGGATGCTTAACGTGCAGTGGCAAGGCAGATAACACACGTGTTTGTTCTGTTCCCGATGCACATGATCATTGTGCATGAGCTGAGAGCCTGAACCAGCTAACCTCTGATTTGATTGCTGGTGCAATAGGATCTAAGCCCAACCACTCCGAGAAAAAACAAACTGAGCCACTGTCTTACGTGTGGTGTACAGATGTCACGCCTTGTAAGCCTGTGGCATAAAAAAAAACAATGGAGATAGAAATCTCGTCGAAATGATCCCCATTTCATTTCTACAATTTGGTTGCTTTTTGACCCCTTCATGATTTTAAATACGGCGAGTATCCCCTGAAGCTTAATTCACTTTGTTTCCCGAAAATATTTTTCTCAATGTCTAAACAAGCCCTAACATCTAAAACTCACTCCCCCAGTGTGAATATTCACATATGTGTGCAAATGCATATACCAGGAACCTCTAAGTCGAAGTGTGATTGGTGGTGTAATCCTGTGGGACGTCTCAGCTTCTGACACAGGTTAGATTCTAGGCCATATACAACACCAGTGGCAATTGGTATCCAAATGCAGCCTGGGTCTCCTCAAGGGTTGATTTGGCCTTAAATCGAGAACTTCGTGTGTGGGGTGAGGTTTGCTTCGACTCTGCAGAAGACAAAGGCAGCCAGGCATGAGTGGTATTGCAGACCACATCACTCCTATAAATACCATGCCGGCTTTAATAGACGCTCACAAACAGTCCCGTTTTTTCTGGATGGACGTAGGGATTCATACATTTGCTCATTTTATTTTCCACATCCATCTTTCCACATTGGCCAAATTTCCATGAACCTACATTAGGCCTGCAATGATTCACCTCCCTCCCTCGCCAATTTTACGAGTCGTCACGATTCCATATCGCGACCGTGGTTTGTTCCGCTTCTTTGTTGCAATTACATTGTTTGCACACCTCGGAGAAGTCGTGAGGTTCACGTGAGCTCACCACAATCAACACACGCGGAGTGAATGACAAATTATTGCAACAATTCGATGCGTCTATCGTGAGCTTGTCAGCCGAATTGAATCCGGTGGGGTGTCATTGTTCTCAAAAATGAAAGGAGGAGCTCTAGATTTGAATTTTTCGTGACTGCAAGGATTCATACGCTTTGGTTTTTTCGGTAAAGTCACGTAGGTTAAAAATTCAAATAAATTCAATCACGACGTTTCGGGTGCAACACAAGCGTCCTTCTTCAGGTGGGGACAACTAAGCGAAAGCACACTGCACACTTAAGCGGTTGTGCTTTCGCTAAGTTGTCCCCACCTGAAGAAGGACGCTTGTGTTGCGCCCGAAACGTCGTGATTGAATTTATTTGAATTTTTTACCTACGTGACTTTACCGAAAAAACCAAAGGGTATAAAGGAGAAGCTCTGGACGATGTTGAAAGATTGACTGGTGTCCAGCACATGCGGTCAAAACGAACCCCCACTTCTCATTCAAAACCGACAAGATGTGAAATATGACTGTGGCAGGCCATTTATATTTGTGGGAAAGCATTCCGTTTGTTTACAGTCGCTTTAATTGTTCAGTTATTCGGTCTGTTTCCCTGTCTCTCTGGGTGGTTCTATTCAGTTACTCCTTGCGAGTCATTTACAAGGCTGTGCTCTGTTTGTTTTTGTTGGATAACATTATCCAAAGTAGGTCTATTAAGCTCCTCTTTATACACGAGCGCGTCTTCATACAGAGCAACCTTGTTGGCGTTACATAAATCACGTTTATAAGAAGGGCCCTGTTTGCTTCTTAAAGAAACCCCGTGACTGAAGAGAGTCATGTGCTTAGCTTGGCCTTGAAATCTATACACAATATTCTGACACTAAACGAGGAGTTCTGCCATGGTGTTAGTGTCCATGAGACGATAGGACAAGCTGTTTCACCATCTGCTGTGATATATACACCAGGGCTGGGTTTCCTATTGACTTCTCATGAGATCAGAATCAAGTATACAACCAGGCTTGTACCTACAAACAAGATGAATAATAACAAAGAATAATAATACTTTGTTTATTCATAAAAGCCTCAATTAGGTTTGAGGCTCATTTCGAGAGGACCATGCATTGGGCTGTTTGTACAATTCCTGAATCGGTATTATTGCATGTGGCATGAAGCTGACATTTAGAGAAAAATAACACATACTCGTGTAAATACTCAAAAATCAGTATAGTTAAGTCGGTACAATAATTTATTAGCTGTACTGCCATCTACTGATCACCTCACAGCCCTGCTGGTTAGAAGTCTCAACACAAGGGTACCAATTAATGCAATGGGTACCACTTTGTGGGTAGTCAGCAGTGGTTCATCCTACGGAAAGACTGGGCCTTGTCATGACAATCTAGAATTTCCACCACCTGAAATGAGCAATGATCCTTGCTCGTTTGACGTTTTTTGTGCGTGCAAAAGACGATGAACGAGCGGTATGTTATCCTTAAAAGATAAATGAAGGGCATCTGGCTGGTATGTTCAGAAATTAGTAACGTCGCTGAACCGAGGCCTTAATTGAATAACAAATTAGACAGGGCAGGGAGCAGGCAAGAGAGATGGGCACTGCATTGTCAAGGTGGTACATTTGTCCTAAGGGGGTTGGCTGAAGGGTTTAATGACGTTTGTTGGCACACGCACAAGTGCGTACATTGATTAGCATGGCACAAGCCGTGCCCCATTGTAATCGTTGTGGATATGTGGCTTAAAAATAGAGCATCCCATTTTAGCTTTTAAAGGGGCAGGAGCCGCTGCGCTAATCCAAGGGTCACTGCAGCCTCAGAATAACTCGTGTGCTCTGAATCGTGGCCCACCAAAAGACCTGACATTATTTCTTATTGTTATTTTTTTCTTCTTTAAATATATACAACTGTATAAAAATGGGATCTCCTCACTACAGTTCATGCAATTGTTGCTGTGCTTCTGGCAAAGCCAAAGAGCTGAGATGGCATATTGCATCGTGCTCTTTGGTTATTTGAGTTGTAACCTAATTAAAAAATTAATGCGTATGAAGAAATGTAAACTCTGTTTGCAACTTGTCAACTTTGGTCATTGGCTGGCAAGGTTCATGAAGAACAGTTTAACACTCACAGTTCCCGATACATTGGCTGCATTGTAATTGGCTCGATGAATGCACTTTGTTAGGAAATTTGTCAGAAAATATTTCACCGCGTGAATTGAGTCATTGAGCATCACTGTGATTAGTTCGTTGATTGCACACACATTTGTAATTAAAATGTTTTTGCATTTATATTATATTCCACACAATTCCTATGCAATTAGAACTGTTATATAAACTCAATTACATGTTGTTTCTTATTTTAATCGTGTAATTTTAGATCTTTTGTTGTCATAAAAAAACACCCACAATACTGCTATCGCCACCAATGACCAATTAAACTTCGTTTCAACGGTGGAGGTGTAGCCTCTGCAATACTAACAATATAAAAAAATTTGGCAAAGTTGGGGCGGCGTTTCTTGCCGGTGGGCTCTCGTCGTCGCATTGGCGGCGGCGCTGACTGTGATCGCCTGTGTGTGTGTGCAGAATGGCGGAGAGAAGCGGCCTGCTCCCGACTCCGTGCTCAAGAAGCCCAAGATGCCCAAGAAGAAAAAGAAGAAGGACCCCAACGAGCCCCAGAAGCCCGTGTCGGCCTACGCGCTCTTCTTTCGCGACACGCAGGCGGCCATCAAGGGGCAGAACCCGAGCGCCACGTTCGGAGAGGTCTCCAAGATCGTGGCCTCCATGTGGGACGGCCTAGGAGAGGAGCAGAAGCAGGTCGGCGAGCGTCGCTTTTGTAATTCCCCGCGCGCCGCGTTAATGCGGGCATGGCACTTGGCGTTGCACCGCCCCCGTGTGCGCGCACGGTAGACACTGTCTTGTTGTGCGTGCAACAACGACAACAACAACAACAAAAATCGCAAATCGTTGTGCGTCCAGTGTTCTGTGGTGCCTGGCGTGTGTGTTGCAGGAAAGCTCTTTGTTGCCCCGTTGCCTCTTAGTGCAAAAGATAGCCACATTTTCCCTCGATTTAGCAGTCATTTTTCTGTGATCCTGCCAAATGCTAGCGCAAACTGCCTTTTCTGCGAACACATGAATTCGGCTGTGCCCTTGAACGTCAACATGTGGCATGAAGCTGACATAAAGAGGGGGCATGTTGGGGCCTAAGAAAGTCCTGTGCATGAAATATACAGGAATGTAATGTTTTCCTTGGAATACAATTTTACGTCAATACATGTCATTCCAACCACCATCTAAAATACAGCTGTACACGCAATGAACTGCGTGGCATATTGCAACCTCGCAGAAATGTAACCACATCTCGTGACATTCACACAACGTCTATTGCGATACGCGCACATATATATCATCGTTAAAATAACAGTTGCAGCCCTTTGCCAATCCTCTGCTGGATAAATGCCTCCCTCATGCAGCGTCAGTCCATGGGGGTTGCTTGACCATACTTCAGCATGCTGGGCAGTGCGGTGAGCACTTATGTCGGCCATGGCCACAAATGAAACTCGTGTCCAGGAATCGAACTCGATTCACAAAGGGTGTGCGCGCCCCTAATGTACACATGTACGTTGAACTACTTTTGCACCGTACGTAGCCAACCGTGTTTCTGCTAAACATTCCATGTAGGCGTAGACAAGAAAACGTGTTACTTATTATATAGCATGACTTACAATAATATATTTACTTATTTAAATATCATATCAATAATTCAAATGTATTGTAACTTAACCAGCATTAAGCGTTTTCCCTGCCACGATGGGCTTGTCCTCAATGCGAGTCTGAGACAAGCTTTCACTCTGCAATTCTGAGATTCGAGTGTGTGTGTGCACGATTGTGCAAATGTATTTCATGGTGTAAAGCCAGTGCATTCGAATGTGTTTTCTTAGGCATATAAACGAAGAACTGAAGCAGCTAAAAAGGAGTACCTGAAGCAGCTTGCAGCATACCGAGCCAGCTTAGTTTCCAAGGTAAGATGTTCCCCCTATCAACGCTTCAAGCGCTCCATTCAGCCTGCAAGCACCACTTAACATACCTGGACTACAAGAACAAACATTCTTGGAGGGGGAGAGGAGAAATAAATAATAATAAAATCCCACCTACTTCGTTTTTCCTTCATCACAAAACCACAACCAGTTTGTACCACAAAACTGTTATTTTTTTAATGTTACATCAAATAATATTTTTTGCAACAATCAGCGTACAATTAATTCTAGATTTGAAGTTTTCGTGACTGCAAGGATCCATACTCTTTGTTTTTTTGGTAAAGTCACGTAGGTAAAAAATATAAGATAAATTTATTTGTTTTAATTTAATTTTATATTTTTTAGCTACGTGACTTTACCGAAAAAACCAAAGAGTATAGCGTACACTTAACATACGGGTGCAGGTGGAACTGCATGACAATGTGTCATCATAATCGGTAATCGTACATTTTTATTTTAATCTGTGTTAATGCCAGCATGCAGGTGTATTTTCTCCAAGGCTTTGTCCTTGACTTTCTTTATCTACCTGTTTAACCCCATTAAGGCGCAGTCATCTTGCTCTGGCTACTAATGCACTAAGGCAGCGTTAGCTGACCAATTACACCATCCCTTTTTGCGGTCCATTTAAGGCAGATGTTGCATTTATTTCAGGGTAGCTCATAGAAGGCTGTACAGCAAGTAGGTTGCTGAGCTGTCTATTTATATTTTTTGACTGCTATCTCCTCACGTGCATGGGTATTCTCTGCTGTGCCTGATTCATCCCACATGCAAAAAAAATACTCTGAAAGAAGTTGACTGAACATCTGAAGCAGGATCTTCTTTAAAAAAAGTGTCTTAAATACTCATGAGACTATCCCGGGTAAATTAAGGATAATATATATTTAAATAATTTTCATCTATTTATAAAAATTCGATTTCCGTGCTTAATTTTTTGCAAATACAAGTTTAAAACATTAGTGCAAATGCACGCAGTCATGAACACAAATAATGTAATAATTTAATTACACTGATGTTAAGGGTTATGGAATTTAAACATAATTACATCCATCATAACTGCGAGCGTGTGTATACGTTTAACGTCTCGCTCTCAACATTTTGGCAGACTCTTGGTATACGCTGCGTGCGTGCACCCTCTCGTTCGTACGCACTCCCGAGTGAAATTTACATTTCAAGTTGCTTTTAAATGTCACCGTGTTCAGCACTTGCCACAGTCGTGTGAAGGCAAACAAACGCGTAAGCATTTTCGCCGAATTCCCTTTATTACTTTCAGCTCCATTAATATGCAGATTGCCGTTGCTTTTCGCAATAAAAGCTAAATGTTTTTTAACGTGCAACCATTTTAAAAGCCCGCAAACAAAACATTCTTTATACGGCACCCTCTTAAACGTGGCCAATTTTCTTTTTAAATATCATTAACAGGTGATGGATTTCAAAAAAATAGTTAATCTACACTACAATTCCTGAATCTTGCCAACTATCCTCTATTGCAACTGACATATTATAATGTTTTTTTGTGACCTGTAATCATGAAGTGATTGAATTTGCCTGTTATTTTTTACCATCTCATACGTCATCAGGATTTGAGTCTAATAGAGTTTTCAAGGTATATTTATTTTCAACATTAAATAGCTCATTTTCTTTTCAGCTTTAATATTAGGCCTAAAATATATAAAATGAAATCAAAGCCATTATCACGGTATTCTAACAAGCTCATCTCTCTATCGGTGCTCTGCGGGGGTGGGGGGGGGGGTGTTGGGGTTAAGTTGACCCCAGAAAGGATTTTAACCCATGACCTCATGATCGAAATCCTTGCACACACATCAATTCAAGCTATGGTATATTCCAATCGTAAAACCGTTGCTACATTCGTATATATATTTTTTTCCCCCGTCTTCATCATGTTATTGTATTCTTTCCCTGTTTTGCCGCACTGGCAGTGACAACTGTGCACAAATCCCCGTACAACGTTCCTTTGCGCTGTCCCTTCCTTCGTCTTCCCTTTTGGCAGTCCTACCCCGACCCAGGCGACACCCAGCCTCCACGCGTCACGCAGGGCGGCATATCGCAGGTCAACATGTCGTCCTCCTTCCCAATGTCACAACAATCTCCGGGCATGGCCTCCCAGCTGCAGCCCATCCCCAGGACCATCGCACCCAAGCCGCAGGGGAACCAGGGACAACCTCCGCAACAGCAGCAGCAGCAGCAGCAGCAGCAGCAGCAACAGCAGCAACAGCAACAACAGCAGCAACAGCAACAACAGCAGCAACAGCAGCAACAGCAGCAACAGCAGCAACAGCAGCCACAGCCGACGCCCGTCGGGATGGTGATGTCGCCCCGGCCAATGAGGATGAGCCCCCCTCGCCCACACCACCACCCACACCCTCACCAGCACCATCACCACTCGCCGCACGGCATGCCCACGCAGATGATGACGCCGGGCCAGGCGATGGTGCCACCCCACGGCATGCCCATGCAGCGCCTGCACCCGGCGCAGGGCCCGCCCATGGGGATGCCCACACCCCAGCAGCAACAGCAGCAGCACATGCAGCACGCGGCAGCACAGCAAGCCCTGATGGGACAACCGCAGGAGCCCCAGCCGCCACACTCTCAGCCGCAGGGGCAGCCCCAGCCGCCGCAGCCGCAGGGCCAGCACATGATGGTGTTCGGGCAGCAGATGATGGGCAGCCCCATCCAGTCACCTCACGGCTTCGCTCAGCCACCACCCGGGCCGCCCCAGCACCACCCGATGGGCGGGCAGCAGCAGCAGCAGCCACAGCTGCACTGTGAGCCAATTGGGCCAGACCAGCAGTCTATACAGGTGGGTGTCCTCTAGAACCTCTTTTCCACCGTACGAGTGAGCTGTGCCGGAGTGGTGCCGAGTCATCGCGGCCGTGCCGCTGACGTCGCATATAGTTGAACCAGTCGAGGCGCGTGTCGATGATGCGGCGTAGCCGTGTGCTTGCGGTGCATTGACTGATATCGCATGCAATGAATGCGTTATTTGGCCTGGCTCCTGGGCCTGCTTAACCCTGGAGCAGTAAGTGGGTTTCTTGTGAGGCCGATGTGTCGTGGCTTGGTTCCGGCACAGTATGGCAAATGCCTTGTGGAAAACCACCCATACCGTGAGGGCGCAGCGCTGGCTTGGGCTCTGATGTGTCAATGGAAATGGGTACTAGCGTACGTATATGTACGTTGAACTTGTAGTGTCCTCCTGACCCAGGATGTAGTGACGGAAGGAGGTCAGATTGCAGGAAGTGAATGCACTGAATGGAAATTTCCTCATCGTGGCAGTGCAAGCGAATTGTAACCGGATTTGAAATTTGAATGTAATGGGAGTGTTATTTTATAAACACAACATTGGATACCAAGACACAAGTCATTGTTTTATAATATGTCAATTGAACATGTGTATGCTTTGTAGAATTCTTATTTTTAGGAGCAGAGTCAAGAATGCAAATATTTACAGTATTTGTTTGCACATACGGGTCAATTTAAACGTACAGCAATTACGAATGTGCACTTTTTTTTTTCACTGCAGTGCAAAATTATACATCGTGCCATCGTACAATCCCATTTGTGATTACGGGAGATAAGATAGCATACACAAAAAGCATGCGCACAGTTAAAACAATTTAATCCACATAGATAATTCACGAGCAATCACTTTGCACTGCAGAGCCGTCACGCAGACGGTGATCCCTGCCTGGGCTCAGACGCAGTGTCGCGCAGCAGCAGCTGTCACGGCGCGTACTGTACACCCCACTGCCGCACCGACAGCGCTGATGTCTGCGCATTTGGAAACGATTGAACCCCAATGTGCGTTGCATTATGAGCAGAATGTTCTACGCAGCGGTGTTTTAAGTGCTGTCCCGCTTAATTATTAATGCCCCATCGATCCTTCTTTTGTGGATTTATTTATGGTATATATTTTTTACGCGGCAGTGTGCGTGGCCTGGTGGTCAGCAGGATTTTGTGAACTAATTTATAACTATTTATATCCAAGTTGGATGAATGCATTGGTGGCCAACACACCGCAAAGCCATGCGTTACAGAGGGGACAGTTTCTTTTCCCTGGGTAGCCAGTAGCCACCATACAATTGATGTATATTCAAACAACTTGTGACATTGCTCCAACGTGCAGAGAACCTCGTCTACCACCAGTATTAGAGCCCAAATCCCACAGCTCGAAAATACCCACAGGCAAATTACTAAACAAATTAACAGCTATCACTTCCTGGCTTGGAGTTTACCCACGTGTTCCTGGCAAATATTAATATATTTGATTGGACCTCATGATTTACCACTTAATTTGTTTTTGCTTGACTACGTCGCAACGAAGGAAGAATGACAAGCACAAGGCAATATGCTTCACCAATGAAATGCCTGCAGAAGGTCAGGCTCCGTTTGGTAGCATTTACTTTAGCAGCTGTGAGCCCATTGAGACATTAAAGCTCTTTTGCAAGGGAGACCTGGCTGTGTTTCTATATGATTAGTGTCCTCTGTGATTTGTCAGCCACCAAAGCAATAATGGAGCCCTTGGTTGGTTGTTCCGATACAAAAACATGGGAAGTGCATTGCAATATAGTGAGCCGCTTGGCAGTGGGATATTCGGCCAGTTGATCTGTCCTCGCAAATATTGGAGATTTGTCTACAAAATAAATCCATTGTGGTTACATTTTATTAAAAGCAAATAATATTAAATCGCTCTGAAGGTAAGCTCCCTGCAGCTTGCTGGAGTAAATAATTGCGTGTTATGTGCGCACTTTGCTTCACTTAACAAAAATATATGTTAAATTGTCCTTAACTTTTTCTTAAACGAAACATGTTTAGAAAGTTTTTCATGATTAAATGTGTGGTTTTAACCAGGCTCCTTTACCTTCCAGATGTGCATCATCAACTTTGTATTTCAATATCTTTTTGGCCATTATTAACCTACGGATGTGAAATGTAAATTAATACCAAATTCTCAATACATGGCTTAGGTAATTACTGAAACAAATATGCAATGTTAACTATTTCTCTGAAAGCTCATTCATTCTGCAAGATATCTCAAACACGTATTCATTCATTTCTTAATTACGTACACACCTCGCAACTCTTAACCATCACCACTATCAATGTCTGCCATTAGAGAATACAGCTTCATTTTACTAAACACTGATTAAGTTTTGTCATCCTTTCCCCAGCCAATGGAACTCGCTGTACCTTCAAAGCTAATAATCTTATTTAATGAAATAAGGCCACCAGTGGCTGAACTAACATCTGCATTGCCTCGCCTCTTCTTAACTTCCAGTTATTAAAACGTAATGTTCTCTTTTTTTAGAATATCCATTTTAATACTTCCAAGAAAGCTTTGTTTATTTATTTGATACCTTCGTCAATGAAAGGTGGTCGGAAAATGTTTGGAATGGGTTCATAAATGTGCGGCGGGGTCATTAAAAACCAATGCACTTTGTGCTTTTATTTTCCATCCAGTCACCTCTATTGGATTATTGTGAAACACGTTTACACTTATCATAATAACGTGCAGCATTTTGTCACAACACTGCTTGATGAAGGCCTCTACATGTCGTTTCAGTCATGGCCGTTGTTAGACCATACTTTATAGCGCCGCTGGTCAATGCAGTTTTTTGAAGGGAGTCCAGGAACGAGTTGAGATATCACTCATGTTAGCCATGGATGAGAATTTAACTCCGGTAGCTGGGTTCATCGCGCACTGTGCACTAACCAATGTGCCATCACTCCACCTCCACACTTTCATATGAAGGCTCTATAGTGTTCATAACATTAAGTCAGTGCGACTATTTCATATCACATTCTTAGATTTGTTTTCCTCCAGCCCAGTAAACTGATACAGCATCTGTTTTTGCATATGTTTTGTCTACTTCTCACCTTTAAGGCCATTGTAATGGCACATTATAAGTGTAGTTAATAAAAATAAAAAATTGCAAACATATACGCGTGTTTATACTCGTGTCCTGGTAAAGAAAAAAACACATGCAAGTTTTTTTACTCAATGGTTCATCAATATCACCGTTACTTAAATCCTCAAAGATGGCAATTCTCCGTGTCAAAAAGCAACCCAGCCCCGCATGTTGCACACACCAGCAGTGCGTCGTCTGGTTAACTGGAAGCGCAAGCCACCATTGTCAACTGTTCGATTTGCAGTATTGACGGGCGTCTGGGGGCCCTTTATATGGGAACAAAGCTGCAAGATCAGAACCCCTGAGTGGGCGAGTTGTTATTGCCCCGACGACGCAGAGGGGAAACAAAACCAATTTAGCAGCCCACTCGTCACTCTGGCGGCGCTCTTTGAACATTAACCAAAGCCTCAACCCTCTTGCTCCTGGTGTTTCATTAAAAAAAAAAACAATTATGATTTTACAAGAATATGCGTGCACTGCTGGGCTTTTTCAAACAAGAAAGTAAATGGGGATAAAGAAAAACCAATAATGAATATTTCAGCATCGTGAATAATTTGTAAGGACTAGTCTTGCCAAATGCCTGAGGAGTCCTCTTCCACCCCCCCGCTACTTTTTATATTTTACATGGATAGAGTATCAAGAGCAGTGCATGTTGGGAGAATTTCAGTAGAAATGAGCGATGGGACAGGTTTTTGGCAGACATGAGGCTGAGGACATAACGCATTAGCTGCATTATTAATGTGATGCCCACACGTTTTTAAGGTTCGTGTTATTGGTGTGCATTAAATAGCTGTTAAAGGAAAATTGATGTACGCTCAAAATCCTTAGCACAATAAACTCTATTATTGTACGAAACCTAATTATTTTGTTTTCCTGAACTGATTGAAGGCAGGAAAAAGTCCGTGGCTTTATGCACATTTATGTGTTGTCAGAGTAAACAGTTCCATGGAAGGATTTGAAAAGTAATTTTATTTTGATGGACTATGGAAAATAAATGCAATGGGCGCACAATGGAAAAAGCAAGAGATGGGGAGAGCGCTGACCACGATGTCATTTTCTGTTTGCAAGCATTGTTCACAACTATTCATATACAATTTCGAAGCTGCCCCACAACAACAAAAATGAATTGCAAATAAATTACCTATAATTGTATTTCAGCTGCCTCATTTACACTGGCTATTCTGCCAAAGTAAAGCTTTTATTGGATGTGATATCGCGCGCTCAAATAGTGACTGCATAACTGTATTCGTTCATCACAAATTGGCAGACAGAAGCCCCCAACCCATAGGTCCACTAAGCCAATGGCAGAGTAGTTGTCATAGTGATGACGGTTGACTCCGATGGAAGCTTGCACGCTACTGGCCCAGTGCACGGTTAGTGGACTTGCATGATGTTCATTTAGAGGTGATGGATTTGAGAATACTTTTTTTTTTAATATTCGCTGGGGATTTTTGCTTTTGACAAAATTGTCCTCGGCTTTCTATACATCCACGTTTAAAAGATACCGTTGGATATCTCCAATTCAATAGTTGTGTATTTCAAACAATCACATTTTTCTGTAGGCTCCAGTAAGAATTCCAAATATGACTTTTTTTACCTCAAGGAATTATTGTTTTGTGTACACAAAAAAGCGTACAAACTGTTGCAAATTTTGTGTACCCACCCGAGCACTGCATGTGCATCCACTGCCCATGTTTTCAGACAGTTATGAAGATGATAATGATGATGAATTGTACCATGGGTCCCTAGTCACTGCTAACGGGAACGCGCCCTTAATTGGAAACTGCTTTGGCCATGATGATTTGGCCAGAGTCAAACAACTGATCAAATAAAGGTACCCCCCTCCTCCTATCCCAATTCTCTGCCTCCATTTCTCCTGCACCTCAAACTTGGC